CCCCCCCATTCAAAGAAGTACATGAGGGTATAATATATGGCTTAAATGTGTATATGTAATCAGGCTTTTTCCAGCTAAGATTATCCCTATTGATTATGAGGTCAGTATATCAAAGGCCAATGTCCTATGGACTTTCAATAAAAAATCTTTTTTGGTCAATAATTATATTAAATACAGTGCACTAGCAGATTTATTTCTTATACCCATGGGAGCTTTTAGGTTGCCTTTCCAGATTGCCTTTCGCAGGTAATGAAATTGTTCTCAATTCTGTCAAAAGGTGACACATTTTCCTTCACTTCCAATGAACAAGATAGGACAATATCAAGAGTTGTTTTAAGAACGCTCCCTTGCTGCCCTATACACCGTCTTCCTAATTTCCAATACAAATAAAACTTGTATCTGAAGTAAAGAATATGTATTATATGAAGTAAAGAATATGTATTATATGAAGTAAAGAATATGTATGATATAAAGTAAAGAATATGTATGATATGAAGTAAAGAATATGTATGATATGAAGTAAAGAATATATGATATGAAGTAAAGAATATGTATGATATGAAGTAAAGAATATGTATCATATGAAGTAAAGAATATGTATTATATGAAGTAAAGAATATGTATCATATGAAGTAAAGAATGTGTATTATACTTTATAAGTGTCTGTGAAGAGAACATTTTGCCACTATCAAGCGCAAAAAAATACCTGTCTGAGGAGGAGGAATCCATTTAAACGCCTTCTCTTGTTGCACTTAATAGATAAGGGGGGCTCTGTATGCTCAGAGAGAGAAGGAAAATCCGACAAGAGCTAATATTCATATTAATGATGGTGTTTTTTATACACGCATCGGCGATTATGTGTGTAATTGTATACATGTATAACAGTCACATGTTCACAATATTCATAAGATTTAAAATATTTAAAATACATGTAACCACATTCATATAAATGTTTTCTTCAAACACATCAGGCAACCCCCTCACCCTAATTTTTTTCATAATTTTACAAAATAATACGCACTTAAATTCATAGAATATTTGACGATCAGTTTTGTTTGGCATTTAACTCTCAGGGGCCGTGGTAATACATGTACATCCCCAGGGAGGAGAGATCGTCAACACAGTTTGTTATGACCAGGTGTCTGTTTCTTACATATGTAACGCACATAATTCTACTAATAATAAAGTCTGCCATATATGGAATTTAGACTTAAAATAAATAAATATAGTATTATTATTATTACAACTACATATACTGACCGTGACAGAACTACGTACAAGTCTAACTAGTTCATGTCCCGACTGAAAACCGATTGCCTTAAACTAACAAAGTTACAGAGACCAGAGTTGATATTAAAATGCTTGGGAAGTCGAAATGCTGTTGATCAGGAACTGCAATACTGCCAATGACCCTGGTTTTCTAGAGCGAGGAATACTACTGAGGCAATGCTGCACACAAAGAATATGCTTAAAAACATTCACAACATACATGTATAGGTCATTTCTTTGTAAACAAAATATGTAAATATAATTCTTACAATGATATCTACTTAAAACAGTACTTTGAAATTAATATCATTAAAATCACGGCATTCAACCGATATACGTTCATTTTGATTGCGTTTTTGGCGTTTTCACCTCAACGCAAAATGTCACGTTTACCCTCTTTCCAAATTAAAAAAACTTATTCAAAATGCATTAGATAAGTGAATATATTTTTAAAAATTCGTTTGACCGACTAAGTGCGTGGGGCTAATGAAGCACTCTTATCCCAGTGAAATACGCCCAGGGT